TTTTCGAATTGAACAATTTTTCCACAGCAGCAAAAAGACCTCTCGCAGGCTTCTTTTTAAAGAAGCAAACTTGTTTTAACTGTCATTTTTACGCACGGAAAATCTACCGGCAACACTATCGATAGTTTGGACTGATTTTTACTGCTTAAACCTGAAAGTAACTTCAATGTCCTCTACAGATCAATAGAATATAAATTCTAGTACTAACTTCTCCTAGAAAAAACATTAGATTGTACCTGTCTTAACGCATACATGCGATTTATTTCAAATTTGTACTGTCTACTCTATCTTTGGAGGACATGTTATGACGTCATTGTAAAAAATCGATTCCGTGAAAGCTGGTAGTAGCTACCAGTGTGTCTAGCAGGTATGTGTGGGTTACGCATGAAGATTAAATTTAAAAAATAATCAGGGGAAATATATCTATACATTATTTTTTTAATAAATGTGTGCATTATTAAATACTATTGAAAAGTATCATGCAATGGTAGCAAATAGGCTCCGTACATGTACTGTTGTTTAATATTTTTAAATACTCAACATTTATCAATAGTTGGTTTGCGTTGTTGTTTACTGCTAATGACTGCCAAATGTCACTCTCGGATAAAATAAACTTTATTAATTTACTAAAAAGGAACTTTATTGTGATCCAGTCATATGCTGTAAGGGAAGGGTCAGATATTTTAATTGAAATAAATTTTATGTAGAGGATATTAAAAAAAGTCATTGAGAAGATAAGAATTTTCAAATGAACAGATCAAGAGACTTATACATGTATAAGGTGTATGTCTTGTTGTTTCATACTGTTTTGGTGACACTTTTGTTTGTGTCCCTTATTGTTTTCTTGTCTATGGTAAGTATCTTCCCTTTGCCCCTAGTTTTATTTCTTGATTTCGCCCCCTCCCCCTCCCCTGAATTTCCTTTCCCCTTCCCCTGTGCCCGTTTACTAAGTGGTCCTATTCATCATTCATTTATATATTTTCTTTGATTTCCTTCTCAGTTACATTTGAATGATAAGCCTGACCGTGCTCTCCCTTGCACCCTGTCCCGTTTTTGTTTAGGATCCTTCTGGGCTCCTTGCCAATGGTTCTTGTTCCTGGGTCGTCTGGGGGTTGTGTTCATTGAACGCCGCCTTTCCTTGTTCATCTTGTTTATCATATTGTATACATGTATACCGAACCGTAACAAACAGATAATGATTATCAATACAAGGTTCGGCAAGCAAGCAAAGAAATGTAAAGAAAACAGAAAAAACTTATCCCCAAAACACCAAAACACCAAAAAAAACCCCGCCTGAAACTGCAAATTCGAAACATAAATACACATGAGTGCTAAATACGGCTCTGGTAGGTGCAAGTGCTCCCTTCCGCTGGTTTAAACAGAATTGATCACTTAAACATAATAATGTTGAAATTTTTATCAATACCCACAGATGTGTTCAAAATACGGCGGTTATCATGGAACTTTCAATGTGACAGTCACACATTCGAGGTGCCGTTCAATGAAGAGCGAGAACTAGATAACATGGAATTTTAAATGGGTCAGAAGTTTTGGTGTCCTTTTGCGACAGTTGTTCTAACATTTCTCCCATCTGTCTTACATTGTTATGCTATTTTACGTCTAAATAAGGGTCACTAAATTTCCGCTTGCTGTGTTTTTATCATAAACCCCGTCAAATCTGTGCGACAATTGCATTTTACCGAGGACTGTCTGAAATTCCATTTTATAGTTTGAAATTTTAAGATTTTTTTCTCAGAATTTAAAGTTATTTTTGGTTGTTTTGAACTTCTTCCCCTACACAACTGTCCTCAATTTTTTTTAAGATAATAAACTAGATATTGATATGGAGTTTAATATAAATTGAAATTCTTCTTTGCTTCATCATGTATAGTATAATTATAATTCATTAAGATGTACCTACAATTACATTGTATTTTCATATGTGCGAAATCATGGCAGGGTTATAAAATAAAAAGGCAGTTCAGAAATTTCACCTAATGATCAAAGATGTTAAAAAATCCAACTTTACAATTTCTAATTTGACAATTTAAATGGACTTTTAAAATGCAGTATGATCTGACGTCGGACATCATAAACTATTTAATTTCTAAGTAAGGTTATTAGAATTTCCTTTTCACATTTTATTTTTAATGCTGAAATATTCGTATGTGAATAAGAGAGTTATTCCTGCAATAATTCATATAAATAACTTAAACAAATTTTATAACAAGTAAAATGGTTTCCTGCTGGGAACATTTTTACTGATACAAAGATATTTCATGTAACTATTTTCAACATTGTTTGGGGGATAAATAAACGTTTGCATCATGAATATAGTTGACAATAATCGATCAATATAGAAGAAGGTCTTTGGTGACTGGTGACCGTTGAAAACACACAAGTTTACGCAGAAAATATCTCTGTTTATTAGATGCCACTACGTATATTTTAATCTTGTAGATTTTCAGTATAAACAATTTATTGTTTGTAAAAATTAAAGAAACATTGATAATTTTCAAACACATCATTTAAGTTTTTCTACCTTAAACGGTAAATAATTATAGAAAATTAGAAATATCACGTTTTTTATTTTTTTTTCTTAATGAGGTGTAATTCGGAGGTAAATCCGTAACGTACCGGCAAACGGTATTTAGCTAGGTTTTCGAAAAGGTCAATTAACCAATCATGTACGGTTTACAGATCACATGCTCCTCCATGTACCGAAAACAGGTCACGTGCTCCTCCATGCCTCAAAAGTTAAACGCGTACCAATACCCTGCGGTCTCCAGACCGCAGGGAATAAAGCTTGACAAATACAATCGATTGCCGCCGATACCTGTGTTACACCATGGAAATTTACAATTTTACCATGTCACCGCTTACGTCATTTTCTAATATGGCCGCTTTCAATAATTTTCAACGATTTAAAAAGTTAAAGTGGAATATTTAGACTTGTGTTCGACTTTGAAGTATGATAACTTGGAACCTTGCATAAAAAACGTTTCTCTTTCAGGTAATGTAGGCCGTATCTTTAAAACTTTTTTAGTTTTCGCTCCCAACAACTTCTAATTGGGAAGCGTCCGTGCATAAAAATGCAGTTCGTGGTTGGACTTGGAAAAAGACAGCGCCCGTCCAAAATTATCTCGGTGTCTCTTTGACAAGTCTAATTAGTTGGACTAGTAGGCACCAGGTTGAAAGATACCCACAAATGATCGTGGTATATTTGTGTATGGACTACATAGCTAATCGTTGACTTCACGCTACTTGTCTCTCTCTGACATATTACCGGCATTTGAAGAACGAAAAGCAAATATGATTTTCGACGTGCATCAACATTTATGAGAGCAGTGCTGGTCAAACGTTATATATACAGTTTCTGACAAATGTAGTCTCATGACTTGATTTCTGGTGCTGAAATCTATGTTGTAAGATTGTAAAGTTTAGTTACAGGCGGCACAACTACCGTGACAATTTACCTATGTGGGAAAGATTGTTAAACATGTACAAAATATGTACTAAAATTATATTTTTACAAGGTCCTACATGATGATATGTAACCATTTAAACCATGTTAACATTTTTCCATGAATGGGTAACAAACCCATATTTATCGTAATAAGCGCTGAAGTAAATATAATATTATAACAAACATTTCCTTGTATAGACACAGGTTAGGCCTTATATTAGATGAAGAATGAGCATCAAATGAAATGGCTAATTCTCAAGACCTGGTCCCGTGTGTATAATTCCTTTCTAGTCTTTTGTAGATGTTATAACTCGCGTAAAGCAGTTGGTCAAGTGAATTTAAAGTGCGGTGACAAAGCACTTTTATTATGGTTTCTATATAGTATATTCCAAAACGAATCATTTGTATGTTTTTGATTCTTATAATTTCAACTTGTTTGGTATTTTTTAAAGTATTTCTGAAATAGTTGAGATTGCAACAAGTAGTCCAACGAGAGTTTGTAACATCCCATTGCCCATGTATTAGTAATCAACAAAATATAAATATCTTTGGTAGACCTTCAAATGTAGTGAAAATGATTTGTGAACAAGTAAACAACACCAACTGTTAATGTTTTGTTATAGATTATGAAATTAAGACTTGGTCACAAATTTTCTGTTTGTTGTCTCTATAGTTACAAACTAAATGAAACAAATACTTTGTCAAATAAATTACTAGTTTTAAGAATATCTGCTTTCTTACTGCACAATTATGAGTTTTGTCCAGTAGACACACATAATTATCATACCACATAGAAGAAATACAATAGCACGCAAAGAAATCGATTTAATACAGAATGTGAATCAAACCGTAAATTTAATCACGCCTTTTCAAAAATAATGTCTGAATTGTTTGCTTGAGCACTCAGAGACAGCTTGTCATTATCCCGCAATTATATAGATTATTTTACCGTCTTCAAGATGTGTGCATTGTTAAATATGATAAAGAAATAATGGTGGCTGATTCATGCCATTTCGTATTTTTGCTCCACGTGGTCGACAGACGAAAACACGAAAGTACGACAAAGTCAACATTTTGTCGTGCTTTCATTCCGCGGGGTGCCAAGGCAAAAACACGATAACACGACACAGTCACCACTTTGTTGTATTTTCGCTCTGCGGGGCGCAAGGCGAAAAGACGATAATAGGACAAAGTGGGTACTTTGTCGTGTTTTCGCGTGGTGCCCTGCGGAGCGAAAATACGAAAGCACGATAAAATCACTATTTTCTTGTATTTTCACTCCGCGGGGCGCCAGGTGAAAACACGAAAATACAACAGAATGATGACTTTGTCGCGTTATCGTGTTTCTGTCATGCACTCCGCGGAGTGAAAGTAGGACACAGTCATCAGTTTGTCATATGTTCGTATTTTCACCTTGGCGCCCAGCAGAACGAAAATACGACATTGCACAGATCTGCCACCATAAGAAATTGATTTTGCTTCATATAGACTTTCAGTATGACTTTGCATATACAGTTGTATTTAATGTTTTCAGATTAAGATGGCTGGTTCATTACCATGGCAAAGGTGTTCAATAGTCCATCCAGCTAGTCTTGGTAAATATAATATAATTATATTACAGTCATGGAAGTTATAATGGACACGATTATTTATTATGTTTTTTTTTATTACGTTAAAACAATGGAATAGTAGGATTATACTCTTTAGGACTCGGTTATTTTGTCTTAACATTAAAGCCGCTGTCTTAACATTAAAGTCGCTGGAATTAAAATTTAAATATATTTTATACGAAGTCGCAAAAGCGGCACGGATATGTGATACCATGATTTCGTTATCAACGTTAACATTGTGGTGCACTATGACTGTCGGTGTGGATTGTGGATAGTGGACAAGATTTTCTGCAGTTTGCTCCGATGATAGAAAAAATCCTCTCACAAACCCGTGCAAATACAAGTCGCATACTATAAAATGTCATTCTCACGCACCTATTATGAATGATTTGCGAGCTTATGATGATGTGATTTCGCCTGTAAATTCATATGCTAGTAAAATAAAAAAGGGCTTGAAAAAAATGATAGTTTTCGTATTTTTCTGTCGGAAAAAAACGATTGACATGTAAATTGCAAGAAAAATATCAAACACCGACTATTGTCACAAACAGAATACATGGAGTATGTATCTCGAGTATTAACTGTTTACGAAAAATCTTAAAACTATAATACAAAATATTTACACAGTGTAAAGAAGTATTTGAAGAAAAAAAAACGTTAAAAAATGTCTTTTGTAACTAAAAGTGTTGCTAAATTAAAAAAAAGAATTATCAGTCCATATGATTTAACTAGTATAATACTTGTAGGAGTAATTTGCCCTAGTTAGATATGGGAAATATCACCCGGGTAATATTCTCTGCGGCTGAACATATGGGTCTATGGGAGTTTTACATTGAGGTATAATACATGTGCCGAGAACTGGTATATTATTCTGAGGTGGAGCTTAGTTTTATTGTGAATTAATATGCATTTTTAATGTAATCCCATTTTATTTGCACCGCCTCCGTGGTCGAGGGGTTAGAGTCGATGACTTCTAATCCAGTAACCTCTCTGGCGTGGGTTCGATCCCTGGGAGATGTTTTGGTAGTTTAGCACGGAGGAAGGTAGTCTAGTACTGGTGTAACTCTCCAGGAACGATGGTTAGGAAACTACCCGCCTATATGACTGAAATACTGTTAGGAAAAGGCGTAAAATGAAACAAACAAACACACAAACAAAACATTTTATTTGCAGTTTAGTCCATTTACATCGCAATGTAATGGCATATTTTACAGATATAAAAATAAAAAATTTGTTGCTTTTTTCCGATCATTGTTCGACAAGTTCCGGAAACACATAAATATACGAACGTAATACACGCAAGTGGTCCACCATTATGCTTGACAAAATACAGAAGCTTGTTGATGATTAAGAAGTTTTTAATACGGACTCGTTTTTTCGTAATTCTGTCGAAATGATTGTATTTTCAGCAGACATAAAGAATTAAATTAGTATGTAATAAAATCAGGATATTGAATGAGGATAGATTCAATAATGTTGGATAAAATTATCATATGAACATAATAGTATTTTCTGAACGAGTTCAACAAACTTCGAAATTTGGTAACGTCAGTCTAGTTTAGTAAAAAAATGTGTAGATTGTGGCGTTAGGAAATAAGGAAATTAGCTTGTTTTCTGTTAATATCGTCTTTGCATTCCTACTTCTAAGAGAGATATCTAACCTTATTCTTAAATTTATAATCTTTATGTTTTTTATAGGGAATCATATCTGACTAGGCTTAGAGAATCAATTGGAAACCATCGAAATAAAAAATACAATGTCATGCCGCTTTTTTGTCTGATTCAGGTTTTATGGGGGTTTTTTTATGAATTCCTTTACTGCTACCAATATTTTGTTAACTACAATATAACGTACAATTGTAATGTATCATAGTTAAAAGAGATGACCACAATAATTGAAAGGAAACAATCCTTTAAACGGCATCTCCTCAAAACACATACGAAATTTTTAAGTTCTTTCGAAAAAGTTTCAACACGATCGGACCAAGGTTTTTGTGTCCACTTGATCAAGCTTTGTATAAGACTTTTAGATACATATACGTAAATTCTGTTAAATATTTACTTAGATCGACAGATCTATTGATCTTTCTGCAAAACAACAAAAGGCGTAAATATAGTGAGTAGACTAATGGTAAAAAATACAAAAAAAGTCATAGCTGCGCCCAATGTAAGCAATTTTTGCTTGAAGCGTTGCCATGCGACGTTGCATTGCCTGTCGGTGATCCATACACGGTCTTCTGCAAGTTTAAGCTATGACAGTTAATTTGGTCCATGAATATTGGCTTGAATTACCAAAACTATGACTAACTGACTTGTTTCAACTGACCATAATATTTTTTTTTAAAAATCAAACATGGCCTTGACATTGCACATTACTCAGAAACTTGTTTTGTAAAATCTACCGGTCTGTAGTTTTCTAGCAATAATCGCCAGTTAAAGGATTTATGACCGCTTCCTAGTTTATTCTTAAAATGATGACTCTATAATATATATATTTTAGAGTTACCATTTAGATAAAGAAAAAAAACTAAATTCTACGAAACATATTATAAACGATTGGCATACAGATCTTCATATCAAAACAACCGAAATGAAGAAAACGGACATGTGTAAATAATAATCTCGAAATTGATAATTATAACATTTATGAAACCGAATATAACGATTCATAATTAAACATTTCTCATAGTGTAAATAAGGTTGTATTTCGTAAAACGCCAAAAATCTACTTTTAAAAATTTCTTGTGATATTTACAGATTTTCGAAAAAGGCCTATTGTATTGTGGTAACTCTTTAAAATAGGATAATCTAATATTAACCTCATATTGTTTTCCTTTGTCTTTAATAAATCTCATATGCTATATCCTTGTATCTAATATAACTTTATATTGGAAGAGAAACATAAAATTATTAGGAAGAATTAATTTCCAGGTTATTTCATATCTATTGGAAAACGACAGAAACATCAGCGTGTTACGTACCACCTTATTATAAATTTACGAAAATGTGTCAGAAAGACTGTTCGATACATTGGCAATAGTTAATCTACAATATTTATTATTTATTATATTTCTGTAAACAATAAGATAAAACTGATGTTTTGTTGTTGTCGCAGCTATGAAGAAAATTGTGCTCGAATGTTCTGGGAACTGATGGTTTTCTTTATTTTAATATACCTTATGTAGCTTGTAAAGTGACGACTACTCTGTGCGTTAATCTCGTCATATTTGATTGGATAACAGCAAAAACTGTTACTCAATAACTTACCTAATCGAGCAAAAGATGAGTGTGTTCAGTACTAAGGTCACGTGCTTTTTTCTTGGCACTATAAAATGTAATTAGTTCACATTTTCATATTGATGGGTGGTCAAGGGACATGGTTGTTTATCAATGAATCAATTATATTTACAGCAAAGCACCCTCAAACGTGGACAAAAGAGGAAATTGGGGCGTGGCTCAGCTGGTGTACAGAAGAATACTCCATTGAACCAATTCCATCTGATAAGTTCGATCTTAACGGTAAGTTAAAGAACTCCATATATACAAATATATATATAGTATATTAATACTGGCCGCCGAATCGAGCCCATTTTGATCTGAATATCTGCTCTTTTCGGTCCTCTTCTGACGTTTAACTTATGTTCGAATTGCCCGAAATACCAACTTGGTAGGTTCGATCCTCACTCGGGTCGAAATCTTTCATGTGAGGAAGCCATCCAGCTGGCTTACGGAAGGTCGTTGGTTCTACCCAGGTGCCCGCTCGTGCCTGAAATAATGCCCGGAGGGGCACCTGGGGTCTTCCTCCACGAATTAAAGCTGGAAAAAAATCGACGAAAAAATCTCGGCGGGACGCTCTAGGATGGCCCGACTTGAGTATACGGTCGCCCATATGGGCTTTCCGGCGGCGACCTTAAATAAACGCATTAAAAAAAATACCAACTACTTCAGTTAAAGTATTGTTCTAATTTGCCCTGAAATGTCATCTACTTAATTCAAATTGCTCTAATGTACATCAGTCTAAATTTTTAATTTACCCCGAGATGTTATCTACCTCGTCCTAAATAATCTTCAAATTTGTCGCGACATGTCATCTACAATAACTATAGAATTGCTTTAATTAACTCCGAAATGACATCTATATCAGTATTGTTCCAGTTTATCCTGAAATGATATCTACATCTCTTTAATAATTGTTTTAATCTAAATCCAAATGACATTAACTTCAGTCTATCTATCGTTCCTATTTCCCCCGAAAGGAAATTACCGTCAGTCTATGTATCGTTCCTATATCCCCCGAAAGGAAATTACCGTCAGTCTATGTATTGTTCTAATTTAGTCTTTCTACTGATTTAATTTGTCCCGAAATACATTATACTTCAGTTTAGTTTGTTTTAATTAATAATCCGTGAAACATCATCTACAAAAACATTACTGTATTCCGCGTACACGCATTTTCATGAATTTTCTACATTGGTCATGTAGTGATTATATACATGATCCGTCTGTTTAAATTTTCATTGGTGTTTCCTAAATTCGTTGTCGTTCAGTTGAAGTAGATTTTTCCATCTGTGCTATCTCTGATGGTTTTTGGCAGCCTTTTAATTACATGCTAGCCCTAATTAATTGGTTTGGACACTATGCCGTTAATTTTAGGTACTGGGACCGTAAAAGTTGTATCTTGTCAAATATCTGTATAGATAAATAAAGTACTATTTATGTTTCAGGAAAAGCACTTTGCCTGCTGTCACGTAGTGATTTCATGGAAAGAGTTCCAAGAAACGGCGATGTTTTATACAACTGTCTACAAACGTTGATATCAAAACATGCTGGTACGCACCGATTAACATATTACAACGTTATCATTTTATGACATGTATAAATCAGTTCTATATACCAATGGCAAAATATGTACATGTATATCCAGTACAATAACATGACAGTATACCCGATACAATACCATTTAAGTTTACCAAGTCGTAGAAGTTTTTCCATTTCCTATCCGAATCTTATTATCTTCCCTGGCCAAAGTGAACATTATTCTAGCAAATCATTTTTTTCTTATTAGGTAGTGGTGTGTTGTTTCATCCGGGGCTACCAGGGACAAGTACCGTTCAGGATGCTTATCAGCCATTTACTGGTGGTCAAAGATCGTCAATATCGACATCAATAGCAAGTTAGTTTCACATTTCTGATCTAAAATAACTCACAATAATGTTCTCATGTGTCACTCAGGTTTATTGAAAAGAATATTTATTGTAGATAGAAACCAAGATTGTTATAGATTGTTATCATTGTTAACTTCCGGCACAGCTAGGAAGCATCTTACTTGGAAATTATCTAACTAAATACTTGTATTCAGTAAATATTCATTCATTCTTACAATCTTGTTTTCTGTGCTGTTTTCTTCCACACACACACAAACGTCACGGAGTTTCGTTAAGCTAAATATGTCACTAACGAATGTGCGCGAAAGTGGCTGTTGTCACTAGTAAGGACCATCAATGTTCTTCGTCTTTGCTGATTTTTTTTATACATTAACGATTATTTAGTTGAGGACATTGAATGACATTTTGGTCCTTACTTAAGGTAGACCATGGGTAATGCATTACCTCCACTTTGAAGAGTACTCAAATAGGGCTAGAATCACTTGTCAGCTGCATTGAACTTGAGTGGCATGGGTTCAAACATTTTTTTCTTTCTTTTTTTCTTTTTAACATTATTTATGTGTCTCTCAGATCCCTTTTGGAAGAAAAAAGTGTTTGATTTTAATTATATAATTATTGTAGGTATTTATTTGCTAAATAATGCCAAATTTAATAGCAAATATGATACCAGATATTTTCAAAGTTTAATAAAATATGACAATGACAATGACAATTTATTTATTGATATTGGCCACCGGCCCATTACAACAATATATACATTTACATATAATTTCTTGACTGGTGTCAGTACAGATCAATGTAATTCCTAATAATGTTTATATTGAAACACACAGAACTATTGTTGAATAATTTACCAAAATGCGTGTCGATCTTAACGAAAAACAAAACATAAGATCTTCACTTATGGCTATTCATTGCAAAATAAGGAAAACATACTATAGCCTTAACATAAAAGGCAATAGTGTTTTGATCAGTCTTAAGCTTTGTACAACATTGCCCGAAATGAAAAGTAAATCCATATATCTCATCACTGTACAAACGTATTCAAAATTGAAAACAACAAACTAAACAATACCTAAAAGTAACATTCATGATATTATAAGCATATTCTCAAATATTTTATAATAATAATTTCAAATTTAAGTATCTGTGTTTTAACATAGAAAATGATTCCAAGAATGTGATCTCAACAATATAGTAAGTATATCCTAATGATTTCTAACTGTCAGTATCTGTATTACTTAATATATCATTTCTCTCTTTGAATGCATAATATGCATACATAGCTAAATTTGTTATAACATTATCAGAGCGAGAGCACATTAGAACATTAAATTTATGATTATTAGGATTATTAAAGAATTTTTTGTCAATGTATTTTTCTCTAATCAAAGACAATTTTTTACAAACTAAAACAAAATGATATTCATTTCCAATTGCTTCGTGACATAATTTACATATCCTTTGTTCTCTTAAAATATTCTGGTATCTACCTTTTTCAATTTCTAAATCATGGGAGGACAACCGAAGTTTGGCAAGAGCATTTCTGAATTTTCTAATTGTCACTACGGTTAAGTAATATTCATGTTCGATATTGCATTTAAACTGTCTATACGCATACAATTTAGAACTATCATTTATAATTGTTTGCCATTCTTGTAGATATTGGTCCTTTAATTTTTGTACAAAAGAATTTATGAAATAGTCTTCATTATTGACTGTTTGATTATACCAAATGTAGCCAAAACCATTTTTACATAATAAATTACGAATACCAGTACACCAGTTAGTTTGCCCCGTACTATCCAAAACAACTGCATAAAATAGCATTTTTTAACTAATCTGTGTTCACCCATTTTAAGTATTTTACACCAATATCTTACAGCTCTTTTAGCAGAATTTATAAACATAGGAAATCTCCCACAGTCACCTAGGACACCTGCATTAATTGTTTTTTCTTTCACACATAAATATCTTTTACATGCATAGTTTATGCACTAACTCTGGCTGTACCAACTTGTGTATACCCCATATTTCTGATCCATAAAGTAAAATAGGGCTAATTTTTGTGTCAAAAATATTAAAAAATACTTTTGGGGGTAACTGTCCGTAGTCATATAATTGCGTAAGTATAGAAATAAGTACTCTTTTTGCTTTAGACGCTTGTTCACTAGCCATTCTGTTTAAGGACAACTGTTGTGTTAATGTTACACCTACATAACTAAAATTGCTTACAACTTCAAGAATTTGATTATCATAAAACCATTTCTCCCCTTTCGCTAATTTCCCACCTTTCTTAAAAACCATTACTTTTGATTTTACAGGATTAACTTTTACATTTTTTTCATCACAGAAATGTTTTACCAAATTTAATAACTTCTGAAGGCTAACAACAGTATCTGCAGCTAAGGTCAAATCATCTGCAAATAATAAAGATGATAACTCAGTTGTATCTGGGAACAGCTGGATACCTCTGATTCCACTATTTTCAATTCGTTTAATTAATTCATCAATAAAAACTAAAAATAGAATTGGCGAAGCCATGCAACCTTGTTTTAGACCTATGGGACAGCTGAAATATTCAGTTAGCCCTTCATCAGTTCTAACACAAGCCTGCACCGACCGATACATACCAAATATTGCATTATATAATTTACCTTTTACACCGGCTTGTTTTAAAGCTTGCCAAATATTATGTCTATTTATCAAATCGAAACATTTCATAAAATCAATAAATGCTACATAGAGTTTACCACCTGGCTTTGATAACTGTTTGTCAATAACTGCTTGAAGTACATAAACATTATCAATTGTCGAGTAACCTTCTCGGAATCCAGCTTGTGGTTCACTAATTTTATTAAAATATTAACATAAAAATGTTAGTCTCCGTGTCAAAATACTAGTATAAATCTTGCTAAATATATTTAAAAAGAGAAATACCTCTATAATTATCAGTGGAATTTATATTTCCTTTTTTATGTATAGTAACAATAATTGCCTTACTCCATGATTCCGGAAAATCACCATTATTGTATAATCTATTAAATATCTTATTAACTAAAGGAATCAATAAATCAATACCGTTAATAAAAAATTCTGGAATAATATCATCTTCACCCCCCGAAGTTCCTCTTTTAAGTTCTTTTACAGCCCTTAAGATTTCTTCGTTTGTAATTTTCCGATATAAAAATTGAAAACTCTATATCATTATCTATATGCTCTGGTAGAATTGAATCAATCTCTTCAAAATTTTCATAGTTAATAACATTAAATAAAGATTCAAAATGATTTTTCCATTCGTTTAAAGTAATCGAGTTTGAACTATGTGCTTTCTTATTACACATACCTTTAAGTTTATGCCAGAATGATTTTGTACTATTTGACGAATTATAAGCTCGTCTAATTGTTTATTGTAAAATTCTTTTTGTTTAAAATTACACGTCTGTTTAAATGTGTTTTTTAGCCGATAAATAATTATTCAAATTTTCTTCCGATCTATTTCTCCTAAACATACGAAGTCTCTGTTATTTTTTAAATACTTTAACGATTTGCATTCTTTATCAAACCATTTAGGCTGTGTGTTATGATTAATTTTTGACCTTTTTAAACAACATTTGCCGCTGTAATAAAGTACATTATTAAATTTAGATATTATTTCAGTTAATGGTTTCGAATTATCTACTATTTCTACCATATATTGATTTATAAAATCTGGCGATAAAATCTCTGCCAATTTTTCACGAAATATAGTTATATTGGTGTCTGTAAAAATATACCTGTTTCTTTTGGTATGTTTATCAAAAACTTTATTTACTATAGCCCTGTCGATATTTTGACATTCAATTTCAAAACTTAATGGCAAATGCGACGACTCAGTTCTATGTTCAATATTAAAATCAGTTATGAATTCTAAAATTCTATCCGAAAATAACAAATAATCAATAACACTGCAACCTTGGTGACTAACAAATGTAAAATCCCCTTTGTTTTGATCTCTACACAACCGTCCATTTGCTATTCGTAACATATACGTTTTACATAATTCTAATAAATCTATACCAAATGTGTTAACTTTTTTATCACAAGAAATTCTTGGACCTAAAGTATTGTCTTCAAAAATATCAGCATATGCATCTATATCAAAAGAATATTTACATGTATACAAACAGTCGCTTCTATCAGCTGTTCGTGCATTTAAATCTCCACAGATAATAAGTTCTGCATTGACATCTTGCATCAAATTAATAATAATGTCTTCTAACATATCAATACCTTTCCGACTTCTCCCACTATAAAATGGGGAAAATATCGGAGGTAAATATATAAAACCATAATTATACTCTTTATCACATTTACAAACATTCTCATCTAGTTTTAGGAATACACCAAAATCACAATAATGAAAGACTCGTGTCACATTCTTGCTAAATGATTTCTAATAAAAAACAACAATACCTGCCATTGCTCTTCCTGCTAATGCATGTTTTATACCTGATACAAAATATAAATCATATTCTGGTAAAAAGGATTCAACATGTGATTGGTCAGTTAGCCAAGTTTCTAAAAATACAAACTATATCGTATTGATGTAAAAAAGTTTTAAGTTCAGTATCAAATGTCTTATTACAAAAACCTTCTATATTTCCAACATAAACAGTTCAAAGATATGTCATTGTTTGAGCCTCGGCCATTATCCTATATATAAGAAACTTCATTTAAACTCTCTGTATCAGTCAACTCGTTGTTCTCAGTAGTCATATTAGTTTGAATGTTTCGCATAGATAGGTTTCCAATATCGACTCTGGTTTCAGTTACGTCCCTTCTTTTCCCAACTCTAAAGATACGATCATTTTCATTTTCAGATTGACTCGATTTAGTATTTTTGCCACTTTTTTCAAACAATTTCAATTGACCTTTATAAAATAAAAACTACAGGGTAAAAGTATTTTATATTTCACTTGATCAACCAATATACTTTTCAGAAAATTTAGGCAAACTTTGAAAACAGCCCCTCATTGTGGTTTGTTTAGGGATATTTTGAATAAGGCTCTTTATATAGGGAAATGGTCAAATAAGTGCTAAAACTGGGTGGGGTAGGGTAACATTTTTATACATATATTCTAAACATTTTGTTGAGAAACAATCATTTTGCTCATGTAATTTGTTACCTGATGTTGCTTCTTAACAATTAGCAATAGGATAACATTTTTCATAATGATGATTTTATAGATTATTTAGAGTTTTCTCATTTCTGCAAAAGCCCGTCTAATAGCAAATTTTTAGTTCAGAAATATATCCATAACTCATAAACCACACGGTAAATTTCATTTAAATTTTGCATACAGGTGACCTGTAAGACATATAACTGTCCTATGTTGTCAATTTTACAGTTCCTTATAGTGCCAATTATCCATGGTCTACCAACGTCTCAACTAATAATGTTATACTAAGCCTGACATATAGGCCTACTGAATCCTAATGTAATACAATATCCACACTGTTTTGTTTGTTACTTGTTGTGTTTTGTCTGTTTGTTTTTTCGTTCTCATGATATGAAAAGCAATGTCTTGCCGTTTCCCTTCGACCAACAGCTTCACCTTCAATTACATTTACTTTATAACACGAATTAATTTAATATATATTTCTAAATTTTCAGCCTGTCTAACAGCCGTGCCTCGGTCTAGTTACGTACCAATTAAACCTCATCCATATATATCCCTTCCTCTAGGACATCCTCATGACGATACATTAAATACACTGGTTAGATCAAGTGTACATTTTCAAGGTAGGACTAGTGCATTCTGCATTGTTAAAGGCCCATTAAGCTACACAAATAATTGTGCCATTATTTCACATTTGGTGTCCTGTTACAGTCTCATTGGCCATTCACCCGAGTTATCTTTTGTTTCCCTTCTTTGCGTTTTTGCAATTTGTACAGTTAAATTTATAAAGTGTTTTATGGAAGAAAACAATCCACTTTGTATAAATTTTGCTAGAAACAATAACACATGATCATATTAAGCGCTAGTTTTTTCATAACCCTTTTCTACAACAATATAAAACACGTGTTTTGTCTTTCCACAGAACGAAAATTAATAAATTTCAGTGGCTTACTGTGTCTTTAAGTTAACAATAATAGAAAACTACTATCTCGTTATTTTGCCCAATATGATATTTGCGTAAATATGACTGAATGCAGCGTATGCGAATAATGTATTACTGACACTTCTAAAAAAACATTTATTATACTTTTACCGTCCTTTTGTACGAAAATTTACAGGCAATCTTTTTCTTTCTTAGTATTCCGTTCGTGCTTTCTGACCATGACGATATTTCATATTCAATTTAATTGACATTTGGCTGTCAGGTCAAATATCTGCTCAAATCATAACTGTATTAATTTACGGACACCAGATAAAAGAACACTTTGACAAAATAGACATGTTGATTGATTAAAATTTGATTTTGAACTTTAAATGACCTTTACGGTCATAAATTGCATAAATTGTCAAAAAAAAATGGTTATAAATTATGACGGACAGATTTGATTCATATTGGAACGCGACAAAATTTATTGATTAATTCAAGAATGACTTTGATCTGGAAATGACCTTGACTGTCAAGGACAAAATTAAATTTCAATTAAATTTTGTACAAGAAAATGATGCTGTCTTGAAGAAGTCTTTACTACAATATTTTTCATCTGATATGTTTAGAAATCATAAGAAAATCGAGCTTGTCCGCGTTTGGTTGTTGCTCTTGTTATGAGTGTAATGTATATTAGGACGCTAAAACTTGTAGAGTGTGGAACATTGCAAAATAAAGAATACATGTATTTATATTGTATAATTTTATATTTATGATGCAAAAAAAATATCTATGTGGTAAAATTTCGCATTACCTTGAGAATTTCCGTCATAATTCGAATTACTTTTTAGTTTACCTGTCACTAAGTAACAAGGTGTGCTTTTGTGATTACAATTCGTCCGGCGTCTGTCCGTCCATCCCTAAACTTTTACTTTAAACGTCATCTCCTCATAAACCACTAACCCAATTTCATCCAAACTTCACAGGATGTTCCTTTGGTGGTCACCTTTAAGAATTGTTCAACTCTGATTGTCATGGCATTCGAAAGAAAAAACTTAAAAAATCTTTTAAAACCCCCAAAATAGCTAGAGTTTAAATATTAAGCGTGAAACATTTTCTAGTGGGTGTCAACCAAGTTTGTTCAAATAAAAGCCCTTGAGTCAAAATTGGCCCCGCCAAAGGGATTCATTGATTTTCCATATATGTATATAGTTAAAAAATTTTTAGACAACAAAAAGAGCTAGAGCTTAGATATTAAACATAAAAAATTCTTCCAATGGGTGCCTACCAAGTTTGTTAAAAAAAAACCCTATAGGGTCAAAATTGGCCCCGTCAAAGGGGGTTATTGATTTTCCTTATATATGAATATATAGTAAAAACTTTAAAAAAAAAATCTTCTTTCAAAAACCCCAAAGAGTTTGAGCTTAGATATCTAGAATGAAACATCTTCTAGTGGGTGTCTACCAAGTTTGTTCAAATAAAAGCCATTGAGTCAAAATTGGTCCCGCCAAACGGAGTCATTGAATTTCCATATATGTTTATAGTAAAAACTTAAGAAATATTCTTTTAAACAACCCAGAGCTATAGCTTAGACATTAAACATGAAAAATCTTCTAATTTGTGTCTACCAAGTTTGTTTAAATAAAACCGTGTGGTCAAAATTAGCCCCGGCCAAGGGGATTATTGATTTTTCTTATATGTACACATCTTTTGGAATTGTTGTTTTTCCCTTAGCAATAGAAACCAGTAATGTTTTTACACATGCACTTTTTTTTCAGATATAAATATGAACTTTGTGATATCAGTTTAAGATTTAGATTTAATATCTGCCTTTGTTTATAGTTTACAATATTACTTGTTCTTGTCATGGAGTTTTTGTATACAGGTGAGCGATTTCAGGGGGGGGGGGGGGGGAGCATTATGGCTGTCTTGTAGTCATATTTGACGGACTCACAAACATCAACTGTATTTTGTGAGTCCGTCAAATTTTATAAGGAAATCGATACGAAAATGAAATAGTCATTATTTTCTGTTACACAGAACAAATTAGCCCCGGACCCTCGTCATTATTGGAGCAGCGCCCTCTAGGAATAGAGCATAGTTTAGAGTCATTACGTCATGACTCATCGTCTGGTTTGTATCCTTTATTGTTGAAATATTAATTAATTTTTAGTTTTTTTATATATCAATTGATATCAAAATATTAACTGAAAAAGTGCGTGTGTGCATGCGTACGTGCATGCGTGCGTGCATTTGTGTCTAACACAGTTGTAAGTGGTAAGTAATTAAGTTAAAGAAGCTTCACTGAGGTCTAAAAGTCTAAAAGCACAAAATTTAAAAATGGCAAAAATGTTTAAAAAAATTTATAAAGAATTAATTGAAAATAAATATTAAGTGCGATCTTAGTCCGATTTGAGTGAAAAGCGTTTAAAAGCTTTTCATTTTTAGGTCATTTTCAAACATAGAAATGATTACTATGAACTATGAAAAATAGAGGGAATTCTTTACGCAAGTTATTGTTAATTCAAATGGTATACAAATCTCGTCCCGTCTTATCAAAAAAAAACTCAGTGAAGTCCCTAAAATAACAAGGAATGTGAACTTTTCCATTGCTTTAAAAAATCTTTTAGAAATTCCAGATAGTTTTCATTATTTATAACTTACTTTGTCATTTTCCTATTACCATTCTATGAGGGACTTGCATTACATTATGACATTGGAGTTTTACTACTTTGATTCATTGAAGGAAAATACGTGTACATATAATGAATAGACGTGTAAAACTATAGAAGTTATATAAACTGTTTAAAATAAGCATGTTGATCCAAAGTCTCCCAAATTTATTCAGTCACAGGGGAGAAATGGTACACGGAGGATGGAGTTTTATGATAACTTGTCCGGACTGATTACTTAATTACCTAATTATAATGTAAAGTTGCAAACATAAAGTCACGGCTAACAAATTTATTCCCGATTTTTTGAGGTATTATTAAAGTATGGCAAGGAAAAAGATCACAAATGAACAGGTCAGTATGTATGAATGAGTAAATAATTTTGAAATTTTACGAAAAACTACCAGATTTCAAACAAGAGGCGATGGAAAAAGACTATAAAGTTTTTATCTGACAAATAACCGAATATGTAAGGCAAGCTTAATCATCAAAGTTTAAATTAACACCTCAAACGCTCTTTATAAAAAATGAAATTTACCATTTTTGACGAGTGTTTCTTCGGTATATACGAACTCTTGACAAGCTATCATAAGAACTTCATCCTTCGTGCCCGTGAATAGTAAGCTATCTAATGTCTGACAGACCATCCTTCTGGTAGTTATATCAATATGATGACGCATGGAAGGCTTCTCAATAACATGTGTCTTATTTATGATTCTGTAGACTGCCGCCTTCTTTGGGAGTTTATATATCAGCTTTTATCAAACACAAAATACAGCAACTACGTATGTTGGGAAGACAAAGATGAGTATGTGTTCCGAATAAATAATCCAACAGGTACTTATATATGTGTGTGTGTGGTTAACCTAACAGTGTATGTAATGCGTCAAACAATTTATTATTCATACTCAGTATCTGATCAATAATGTTCTTATTTCTATAATAATTAATGCAATGAATTTATATACAATGTACTTCGCATAAAAAATAATCCATTGTTTATGTTCCAAGTGTCGATAATAAAAATCAGATGTTACATGTAACTAATCAAGTATTAAAGTAATGTTATAGGTATATGTATGTACTAAGTGTTCGGATTATTCATGTGAGGAAGCTATCCAGCTAGCTTACGGAACGTCAGTAGTTCTACACAGATGCCTGTTTGTACCAGAAATAATGTACAGAGGGACACCTGGGGTCTTCCCACACCATAAAAGCTGGAAAGTCGCCATATGACCTATACTGTGTTGGTGCGACGTTAAACCCAAACAAAATCAAAGGGCTGCAAGCTCTGTGGTATTTTCTGATCTTTGCAATCTAAATCGTACTGTATATCTGTATGTATTTTCCTGTATAAGTTTTTTTATGTACTATAATTCATCTTGCAAGGCACCAGAGTTTGATAAATACAGAATTTTGCATAACTACAGTAGAGTTGCATCAAAAAATCATTTATGTTCATTTTTTATGACAGCCACACTTTATCCTTGCATATCATGGCTACTTCCTTAACAAAAACACTTAAGAATTTAAAAAAAGTTGCCTCGAGTGGGATTTGAACTACAGACCTCTCACACACTAGACGAGCGCGTTACCCCTGCACCACGGAGAAGTTACATAAAAGGTGCCTGAATAAAATCTAGTCATTCTAAATTTAGAATTTCCATTGCATTCCGGGTTTGTAATCCTTACTAATTTCGAGGTATTTTGTTCAGGATAAACCTGTTGTTTAAAGTTTAAGTAAATAATTTAGCGAAAATCTAATCGCCGAAAAAGTCCGACATGTAGAATCTATATATTCCACTACTCGGCAGTCAGATTTATTTGTGTAGTTTCGGTAATCGACATCGCTAAAATAGCATTTTCATTGATTAAAATCAAATTCATCCGCGTAATTTGTAATTTTGCATTTATTGACAATTCTATAAGACAACGCTACTTTTAAACTTTGCATGCGTTGTAATTTGTTGGATACTTGTAACAAAATAAAAATATTTCTTTTAAATCGCTAGTTTTAAGCTGCTTTGAGAACTACTTGTTGTTAGGTTTGTCGTGAAATTCTGTGTCAGAGATTGAATGTCAGCTTTGTATTTACTGACCTTTGGTCAGAAAATACAAAAATCTTTCTTCATAATGTTTTGCTAATTATATATTTTACTTTCATATCTCAAAGTTTTAACAATACATACATGTGAACTGTATGCTAGAGTATATTTGAGTAAAGAATTAAAGAATTAATCTGTCTATCTAGCTTTATGCAGGAATTACAAATATTCATTATGTTGTATTAGACAGGAGCGTAAAATATGTATAAATTTGCTGTCTTGTTTGTTTGTATTCAACAAATGTTGTTGTTGCTTGTTGTTTCTTTGTTTTAAATGTAAGCAAGAGAACATCTTACATTTTCTTGATAATGTTTTATACATGTAAATAAAAACATACAGGATTTGTTGGTTGCTCAAGTAAACTATTATCTTATCTATTAAAATACATGATGGAATTATTTCAAAATTGATTTCTTGAATAAGTTTGATATACAAAAGTGTATTTAATTTTCAGTTATCCAGTTTATGTAAATTGTTTTGAGACTTTACTATCGCTACATTTTATTGTTCCGTTATGCTTACAAAATATATGTCTATTTCACACAGGACTTGCAGAGTTATGGGGGCAACAGAAAAATCGAACAAATATGACATACGAGAAATTATCACGTGCTTTAAGATACTATTACCGGATGAACATAATAAAGAAGGTCCAAGGGAAAAGATTAACATATAGGTATAGCACGCATTTTCATATGACTGAGAAAATAATTTTGAACAATTTGTAATTAAAAAAAAATTGATATAACTTCAGGTGTAATGGGTAAAACTGTAACAAAAACATGAGTATTTTATAATAGCATTAATGTTTGCGTAAGAACTGCTCTCGCAGGTCTATTTTAACGGTGAAGAAGACATGCATTAACGAATAACATAACGGCACGCGCTGTTGTTGCATGTTTTTTATACGCGTTATTCAGGGCACCGGTAAAAAAATAGCTGACTGGAATGACGGCCCAGTAATTTAATTGCTTAGTCGGTTTCTCTATACAGAATCCGACATTTATTTTACGCTAATGCACCATTTTTGGTTAATAACTATCTGCAGAAATCCATAGATTTATTTAATCCCACACCGTTCGACCGGGCTTTTAATGTGTACGCTTAATTATGCAGATGTGAATGCACGAAAAAGCACGTGCGTTACACGAAATGTGAATTTCAAAATTTGATTGTTCGTTTATGTGACTTTTTTCGGTATTTGACTCATCCACAATATACTGGAAACAAAAAGTGAAAATAGCTGTCTTTCTTCACCATTCATATTATTTAAACACATCAAAAGCTTTTATTTAACAATAATCTGAAAGAATTTCACCGTTGTTATTGTACATTTATTAATATCAACATATGTTTAAAAAGGTTTTTGCAGCCGCCATCTTGTATACAAAAAGGTCAAAGAGGTGCTAAACCGCATTATAAGATACAAATGGACATGATTCTTGAACAAAGATCTCAACAAAGCATCAAGAAAGATCCAGAATCACCAGTATCAAGTGGTGCAACAGCAACGGCAAGTTACAGTCCATCCATAGAGGAAGGTTATAAATCTTCAAATGACGATTTAGATGAATTGGAAAGCGACAATAGTTCTAATGTAATCGGAAGTAGTAGAAGTAGTCCAGGTGCAATGATATCTAGTGAAATGGAAAATAAAGCGGAACGGTCGGACAATGCCGATGCTTTACTTTCACGAACATCTTCTGTCAGTTCACAAACTATGTCACGATCTCTCTTTTCCAGTCAGATTCAGTTTCAGCACGGAATTAAACATCCACCCTATCCAGTAATGCCCCCACTCTCTGAACAGAGATTCATTCCTGTGGTCAAACATGAAACACAGTCTGCATATACATCATCACATACGTTACAAAGGGAACGCTTTTTACTTCATCCTCGAGATGCTATACATCCAATTTTACACGGTGTTAAATCAGAACACGAAAGAATGAAAGTACCTGCCATGCAATTTTTAGAGAAAAACGTACGATATCAAGAAGGTATACACAGATCTCTATCGAGTGATTTTGCTCAATCGCTTCAGGTCCAACAATATGCACTCCGTCCAACTCAACCACGCTCAGTCAGTCCGAGAACGGACGTTCAAGAGGAGCCACAAGACCTCACAACAAGGAAAAGGGCACGATCCACCATTGACCCACCTACCGAGTCTCAAAGGCCTCAAAGTTTCCATTTTACAGGATACTCCTCAGGTAAAAGTGAAATGGGCCCGGGTGCAGATTCCCCAACTACTTGTCATGAGAGTATTTAGTTCCACCCAATAATATCCCACATACATTTCATTAGTTTTATACCATCTTTTGTAAAATTGACAGTCAAGTGCCTTGTGTCTTTTTATTTAACAATGGTTAACCTTTGTGATGGCATCGTGTCCGTTTTTTTTAACAGGGTCAAATACATGTAGTTTTCATAGACTTATAGAAGGACGCATTTATAATATATTTTCTTACCCAACGGTTATATTTTTAAAGTGACTAAATATAATATGAAAGATACTTTCAATGCCCTACTCTTGCAGAAGAATGACCCTTTTCTAAGGTGAGCGATGGAGAGTCATCATGGCCCTCTTGTTAATAACTAATAATTTAAACGTTAAAACCAAATGATGGTGCTTGCAGTCACAGCATAGCATGAATGTGTTCATTTAAATTCATAACATTTGTGTGGAGTGTTTTGTCACTCATGGTCAATGAAACTGCTGTAAGTTTTGATTGGAGAGAATCGTAGTACATTATATATGTCTATATAATTACATGCAACGAATCGACCGTTACCGCAAACAAATGTATATTGCCGCAAAACTCAGTTTGATTAAGTATGACCTTACAAAATGTAATTTATCGAGTAAAAAACACACACAAAACATTTTATCAGAAAGTGATTGACTGATGTAAATATTTTAAAAGTTTGAAAATAAAGTGTTTTTTTTCCATTGTTGACAAATAGAATTTAAAAAAAAACTCAATTAAGTAACAAGATTTGTTTTAAAAAGGTTATTGTTATTATAAATATAGTATTATTTTTAAGTCGCAGGAAGTCAATTGTTATTTGCAGTTTCAGGCATTTTGCCCTGGATATAAGATATATATTGGGGATTTATTTTATTTTACACTTTTTTTACTAAAACCGGAAGCGACAGAAAACCCTTAAATAAAGATAAAACCTTTAGGCCTCAATAGTTACGTGTTATTCCAGTTGTTATGTTTCTGTTTTATTTTATTATATACTGTAATAATTGATGGAAAACTAAAAATAAATCTATGTTGTTTAAGAATTCTGTAATTCTGGTCCTGCGTAGTTGTTAGATGTTAGTTTTGATCCAAAAATTATGTATGCATGATTTAAATAGAGAAAGTATTTAAAGCAGTATGCCTCCAAATTTATGATAATTTTCATGAAAATTTTCAAAATGTATTAAAAAGGACTGTCAAGTGAACAAAAAAGTAATTTACACATTGCAAAGTCAGAATATGCAAATACGTTAGTCACGCAGTAGGAATATGGTGATAAGGTAAGACCCTCTTAATAGGCACTGTAAGGAGCTGTAAAAGTGACAACATAGGACAGTTATATGCCTCAAAGGACGACTGTATAAAGTTTACCGTATGGTTTATGAGTTATGGACAATTGTTTTTTTTTTTTGTTTTGTTTTTTTCAGAAATGAGGAAACCCTGTTAATCATTATTAAGAAAACAAATAATAGCGTTCAGCTAACAAATCACACACACAAAGTTGTTTTTACTCAAAATGTTTGAAATTTGTATAAAAATGTTACCCTACCCCATCCACTTTAAACATTAATTAAAAAACCCTTATTCAAAATATCCCTAAAATGTACCACAATGAGGGGCTGTTTTCAAAGTTTGCCTAAATTTTCTGGTTGATCTTGCAAAATATACTTTTGTAGTTTTTATTTATTAGACTTTGAAAATATCAGGCACCATATTTGCTATTAAACTTGGCATTATTTAGCCAATACATACCTTTAATAATTATATCATCAAGGACCTTTTTATTTCCAAAAGGGACCTGGGAGATATATATATAATGTAAAAAAAGGAAAAAAGTTGTTCCTTCTGTGCTTTTAACCCACGCCCCTCAGTTCCAATGCACTTCACAGTAATTCTATATGAATACTCTTCAAAGCGGAGCTACTGCATTAGTAAATATTTTAATTTTCTTAAAATCTTAGCATAGTTTTCTCAAGATTTTCTTGACATATTTTTGCTCGTCTGTAGGCATGCAACTCTAATCATGTATTCATTTTCCGTGGGAAATGAAGGGTTATTGTTTTGGATGTTTTCCAAACATTGTCCGTCTTAACAGCCGCCCATCTGAAGCGCTAAGTGATTATGACAATTATTTCCGTTTCTCCCGAATCATAGCTGGGAAACAGTAAAGTATACTTCTTAAAAATCTTCATCAGAATAAACAACATCTTTATGGGCATCTCTACTTGTTAATATGAGAACATAAACAACCTGGTTTATCGCTGTCAATAATGTCACTTAGAATGGCTTCACAAGTACAAGATATCTGTTAGTTCTTGTCACACATATTTCAAGATCTCTGGAATAAAACAATAAAATGTGCTGAGGCATTCGATGTGGTACTTATGTGTATATTAAGTTACTGCATTCAGTGCTACATTCTCCCAATTTTTTTCAATGGGAAAATGTTCGAAATTGTTCATTATTACATCATAATCAAGTTCATTTGACATACTGTAGCTATGCTTACAATAGTGGGACAATTTAAGCGTATGTTTACTGAGACTGAAATTCAATCATAAAAAGGCAAAGGACGTACACGTATACCGTTTTAAACAAATAATTTTACGCACGGTTGTTTACCTATTATAGTGTCTGTCCTGTAACATATTTTGTTGCTGACAAGGCTATGTTATATTGTTTTGGCAAACATGCAGTTTTGAATATTTTTCGTTTATGTATATTGAATTGCAAACAAATCATAATACTATTTAACAAAATAAATAAAACAATTTAAATCGTTAAAGAAATTATATTATCTTCTGGAGAAGAATAATTTTTGTTTAATATGTTGTTGCTCTTTTGTAACCAAAGTCAAATTTACAATTTCATTGTTGCATAATAAATTTTATACAAATTTAAGTATCTTGTCTCTTTCCTCTCTTTCCTTCTAAACAGGGCGGATATGCACCGTTCTTCAGAATATTCATAATTTTCCATGGCAAATGAAATTATGTTGTTTTATATTCGATCAATCTTCACACTATTCCCCTATGAAACAGATAGGGCAATCAAATGCATGATTATACAGCTATTGTATGATGGTGAGGTGAATATCCAAGTCTATGGACCTGGCTAATTTCATATTTAAGAGGCCGAAATCTTCGTACAATAACTGTTTTATTATATCTAGGACCAATTTTTGTCCCCAGATTATAAAAGTTAAATATTTATACGCCGGCAGTAGAATTTTTGTTAAAGCTACACACAATTTGTGAAATATGTATACAGTATAAAAGTAAGGAAGGGCCATATCTAATGCAGGAAAAAATGAATTATAACTTCATTTGAACTTGCATAGTTACGTGTTGTGGCGATCATACATGAAAATTTTATGTACACGAAGTCACAAAAATTGCACTGTGTGTATATTATGAACAAAAGTTCGTAGAACACGAAATATCCCCCCTTCATACATTCTGTTAGTGACCTTTGACCTACTGATCTTAAAATCAATAGGGGTCATCTGTGAATGATGATCAACTTCCCTACCAACTTTAATGATCATAGGACAAAACATACTGAAGCTATCATCCAAAATGGTCTTATCATTTTGGGCCACTTGACCTTGACCTACTAATCTCAAAATCAATAGGGGTCATATACCAGTGATGATTAAATGATTCTAAGCAATGTTTTAGCATTTTGGGTCACTGTGACCTTGATCTTTGACCTACTGACTTCAAAATAGATATGGGTCATCTGCCAATGATGAACAATTTCCCTATCAAATTTCGTGATCTGTGTTCAAGAGCGTTCAGCTACAGACAGTTTGGTATTCATTTTCAGTATCCCATCTGCATCCAGACCACACCACGTAGAGAATCTCTTCCATGGCCCCAACCTTTTTTTTTTTGCTTTTTTTGTTTATATAGTAATTATGATTTGTTTAAAAGCCTTTTGATTAAAGCTAGCCGTTCTTTTAAAGAACTTATAAATTTAATTATCCAATAAATATGTAGAATCTTTAAATCGCATTTGGAAAGTTGTCAACAAAAAGATGAAGAAACATTTAGGTTCGAATTTCTTATCACTAGGAAAAAGACTAAAACTAGTTAAGATTAAAGAAATATGTGTTGTTTTGATATATTTTAACTGTTCAGGAAAAAGACTGAAATATCCACGTCACTACGAAGTCAAAGTCAAAGTAAATGTATCAATAATGTATCAGATATATATTAAAGTGACATTACGTTCATTTTATCGCTAAATTTATGTTTAAGTATGACTTTATTTCAAAAGAATCAATTTATAATGGTGATGATGAAAATGACTATAGCGAATAATATAGAAAAATGCCTAACTTAAAGATTTCACCATTAAACTTTACCGATACATTCAGTACAATATCATTACAAATTTTCGTGAATTACTTGTTTTTTTTTCTGTTTTTTTTTTGTTTTGTTTTTTTAATTTTAACACAATGATAACCTAGCTACCTATGCATTGATCATTAACACTTGTATGAGCATAATTCCTCTTAATCTGCACAGAGATATCTAGTTTCAATATTATATGTTATTTTGGTTTTGGAGTGATACTGTATATGTGGATATATTACCTGTCAAGATTCTATATCACCCGAGCCGTTAGGCGAGGGTGATATTTTATCTTGGCAGGTAATATATCCACATATATCACTCCAAAACCAAAATAATAATTTTATTACCCTTCCCGTGCCGAGTTAAGACGATTTTAAAATAAATCATTGCTAATTCAAATGAAACGTCGAAATAAGATTCCCTTTAGGATACCCCTTCACCATAACATGACGTCACATAAATACATGACGTATTATCTTTCGAACATAACGGGTGTAAACAAGAGAAAAGGAGTAGTCTGTTGAACGCACTTTTTTGAAATTAATATCAAGCTTTCACAAGGTCATATTTGTTTTCTATATTGACGAGAATATGTATCATTACTCTATTTTGGTAAATATTTATCATTTGACAGTTTAAAAGTGCTTGTAAATCGGAATTTATATCGCGTAAAATCAAACCGTACGCGCATCGCACGGCGCATGTTGTTTACAACGTGGGGTACCCATCGGGGAAATTTAATGTGTATATTACCCGTCTGGCTCGGTAATATCAATTTCTTTCGGGTGATCAATATCCAATCAAAAAGGCGGAAAAAATCTGGAAGGGTAATAAACATATACATACAGTAATACCTAAGCGATATACAACAAATGTATTGGCCGTTACGCATTGTTTATATGAATAGATACGGAGTTTATTTTGGTGCAAAAGATAAATACTGACAATATAATTTTACGGAAAAAATATGAGTTGACCTGACGTTTATAAAGGTAGGAATCACAAACCACAAAAAAAAAAAAAAAAAATAAGTCCAAAAAAATAAATAAATAAATTAATTACGCAAAATCAATTTTGATTTTGTTCATGTAGAAAGAAAGTTGGATTTTTAAAATTTAATATACTGTACACTGACTGAAGTTTTCTTTCATCGCCATTAAACATCATAAACTTGGGATTAACGCGTGGTTACTGTCAATTAAAGTGGGTGCGAAAATGTCACGACAACATGTGCTTGCACGTAAATAATCAAGCAAGATAATCTACATGGCTATACAATGTCAATGTTGTTGAATTGTGATAATATATTTTGAAATACTAGTGTAAATTATGTTCAAAAGTGATTAATAGGCAGGAAATTGATATTTTTGAAACCATAGAGATAGGCATTGAAAAATACCGAAATAATGGCAAAATCTTCTTAAGTGGCGATTTTAATAGCCGAACAGCAAACCAAATTGATTATTTATGTTTTGATAGGTATATTGACAGCGATCAGCTGTCAAATTTGACCCACGTACCACCGCGTGTAAGTAAAGATCACGTGACAGATGCTCACGGTACGAGATTATTAAGTTTATGTAAATCTTCAAATACGTTAATCTTTAAAAAAAAATGCGAATATAGGAAATTATACTTTCTACAACAGAAACGGTTATAGCGTCGTTGATTACTTAATCTTCAATATCAATGATTTTGATATCATCTCAGATTTTGAAATCCTTCCACCGAACGAGTTTTCCGATCATACACCCGTTAAAATAGTACTTGACATTTCAACTAAAACCTGTTTAAAACCCGACAGTGCGCACGAGAATAAGCGTGTTATTTGGGACGAGAATAAAAGTCAAGTATTTACGGAGCGTCTAGCCGGGCAACAAAGTGTGATTCAGTTATTATGCGAAAATAAAGAGACTAACGGTATTGACAATTCACTAAGTCAATTCACTACTTTAATACAAGACACGGCATTTTCAGTATTTAGCAAACAATATCAACAAACATCGAATAACAAAAAAACGCAGTATCTAAATCACGATAGAAAAAAAATGGTTTAATGCAGCGTGTTACGAAGCAAGGAAAAAATTCACAAAAGCAAGAAATCAGTTTGTAAAAAATAAAAATGATATGCGATTGCGAAATATTTATTTTGATTTAAAAAAATGAATACAATAAAGTTAAATTCCGGGAAAAGAAAAAAATTAAGATAAACGAGGGAAGGAATATAGCAAATATCGCAAAATCTAAGCCAAAACAATTTTGGAAACATGTAAAAAAGCAATACAAGTCTCAAAATACTCGGACAGAAAATTTAAACGTAAATGATCTCAGCCAGCATTTTCAGTCTTTATTTGGGGGTGAAAATATAAGTTTAAACAATTTAAACATTCCCGAACAATATGATGCAGAGTTAGACGCAGAAATTTCTTTACTAGAATTGAAGGACGCCGTATTTTCCCAAAATGATGGAAAGAGCCCCGGGCTCGATAATTTGTCCTCGAAAATATTTAAAAATTCATTTAATATTATTAGCTCTTTTCTACTTAAATTATAGAACAGAACAGAACAGAACATATACTTTATTTCTGACTTGGGCTCAACACCCATCATCATAACATACATATACATGTATAATTATTACAATGCATGCGTCAAGAATCATATCATAACAAATTCAATCAGTTATATTCAAATATTATGACATAGCTAACATATTGATTGAGAATGCCAAAAATAAATTTCTACATTAATAATATCATATTGATATGCTAATCTACCAAATTGTCTCGTCTTTCAAATGCTTTAATACAAAATAATGCTAATTTTCTAATAACCAATTTTCTATCTGCGTTTAACAATTGTATGAATTTATAAAACACTAGGATTAACAGTAAAGTATCTTGAAATGTACATATTTCTAAAATCGTTATAAATTAGACATATTAATATAAAATGAAATTCATCCTCTATACCTCCGAACATACATAATGCGCATTTTCTCTGACTTCTTTCAATACCCATGTGTCTTCCAGATTCAATATGTAGTTTATGGGAACTTAATCTTATTTTTGCAAGTACTGATCTGTGTTTTGCATTTTCAAACAAATTGAGATAAATAGAACTGTCATATTTAACTTTAATATTTGAATACAATTGCAAGGAAGAGCATAACGCCATGTCTGCTCGCCATTGGGTTACATTATATATCCCTGAGACGTATCTGAATACTGGTATAAAAATTTTAATATTAACCGATTCTGGATACAACCATACTTCGGCAAATCCAGCGTTTTGTAACATGTCTCGAACTTTTGATGACCAGTTGACAACATTTGAGTTATTTGATATATCATTTCTTTGAGAACTTAGAATAATTGTTAAAATACAGTTTTGACTCTTATCGCTGTGAAACTTTTACCAATATTTTGCTATCTTAACATATCTTTCAATATACAGAGGAAATCTACCTAGTTCAGAATACAATGATAGAGTATTTGTTGACATTTTAACATTTAATAACCATTTACAAAATTGTCTTTGCACACGTTTAATATTTTCTGCTTTATTAAAGCCCCATACTTCACAATTATAATTCAAAATAGATAAAACTTAAACATCGAACAAATTGAACATTATTTCTATAGATATATCTAACTCTTTTGTAATGTTAAGTAAAGAGTTCATTGCCCTTAAGCCTTTTCCACTAAGGGTATTTGTTGCTGGTACAAATGAACCGCCACTAGAAAATACAATTCCTAAATAATTGAAGTTTTGAACAATTTCTATATCAATTCCGTCATATGACCATTTGAACTCTCTACTTAATTGACCGCCTTTTCTAAAAACAACAATTTTAGTTTTATCAACATTTACAGTTAAATTCCATTTTTTGCAATACAATTGTAAATTATTTATATTGTTTTGTAGACCTTCTTTGGATTCAGAAAAAAGAACGGCATCATCCGCAAACAACAACAAATACATAGATATCTGGTCTAGTGTAATGCAAGCATTTGGGTCTTCTTGTAAAAACATTTCAATATCATTCAAAAATATAGAGAACATGATCGGCGAGGTGATCTCCCCTTGAAAGAGACCTACATCACAGCTGAAAAAATCTGACAAACTATTTAAATGTCTTACACAAAGTTTAACATCTTCGTACATTGACCGTATAATAGAGAACAGTTTTCCGTCCACCCCGGTCTTTATGAGCTTATACCAAAGGTAATTTCTGTCAATTAAGTCATACGCCTTTTTATAATCCACAAAACAACAAAAGAGCTTATTTTTCGTTCTAAATTGTCTTTCTATTAAAGCATTTAATATAAAAATAGGATCAATAGTACCGTAATTCGGTTTAAAACCGAATTGTGCGTCTGTCAAAGTTTCTGTGTTTTCAGCCCAACGTTTCAATCGTTCATTTATGATAACTGTAAACAATTTAGCAAAACAGCTAATCAATGTTATTCCTCTATAATTATTCGGGTCAGACGAATCACCTTTTTTATATATTGGTATTATTACTCCTGTTGACCAGCTACGAGGAAACACTTTTGTATTTAATATGTGGTTAAACAATAATTCAATTGAACGTGCCGTTACAAATACACTTTCTTTGAAATATTCATATAGGATATTGTCTAATGAACACGCCTTATTACAACCGAGTTTCTTGGTGGCGGATATTATTTCCTCTTTTGTGATTGGTTGATCCAGTTCAGCGAAGGAACTTCCATAGGAGTCTGGGGCTGTATCAAATTGCGACAAAAAAGTCATTACATTCCATATTTTCACTAAGCATTGTATTAGAAGACAAGTTTTGAAATGATCATAAAATTCTTCAACAGTTATATTTTCACCATTTGGATTTGAAGATTTCTTTTTAAATGTTTTCCAAAACTCTCGTGGATTTTTTCTTCTCATATCATTCATTTTTTTACCGACATTTTTATTAAAGCTTCTTTTATGCTTTTTACAAGTGTTTTTGTAATCACGTTTCTTTTCATGCAGGATATTTCTAGTGCTTTCGTTTTTTTCTAAATTATAGTCATAAATTGCCTGTAAATAACTTTCTCTCTTTAATTTACATTCATCACTAAACCATTTCTTCAGATTTGAGTCATTATGCACAAAATAATTATTTCGTGCAACTGATTTAGTTTCAAAGTACCGTTTGCCTTTATCGTTTAAAAAGTCCGTGAAAGTCTTAGTTAATGTATCGGTACTATCTCCGTTGTTTATTTGCTCTTGTAAAATAGTTTCTATGTTTTGTATATCATGTGATACGTCATTTATAAATGCATCCCTTTGTGATGGTTTCCATTTATAAGAAATAGTTGGCTCCTTTTTTATCGTACTTGGAATCGAGTTAACTTTGAATGAAAATGACATCGGGGCATGGTTAGAAAATTCATTGAAATCATGCACATAAAAATCGGCTAAATCTTGAAAGTTTAACTGTGACGTCACCAGATAATCGACCACGCTTTCTCCGTTATATGTCATACAGGTAAATTTGCCTATGCCTTTATCTCTATACAATCTACCATTAACTACCCGAAAATTGGTTGATTTACAAAGGTCAAGTAAACGATCGCCAAAGCGATTTGATCCAAAATCACAAGAAGTCCGTGGCAAATATGGGTCAATCGTATAAATATCTGTTTGTCCTATATGTCTATCATATGTTATATAATCACTTTTCTGGCCAATGCGCGAATTAGTGTCTCCAGTAATGAATATTTTTCCTTTATTGCTAAATATATTTATATCATTTTCAATGTGCCTATAAATATCTTCATCGTACCTATCATGAATCGGGGAATGTTCTGGTGCAATGTATACAACTGCTAAATAAATGTCATTTTCTATGTGAAAGAACGATTTATCAAATTTCAACCATACCAGACAATCAATGTCATTTTTAACCATTTTAACACCTTTTCTTATGGAATTTTTTATATATATGATAAGTCCACCGCTGGAGCGCTTAGCACGTCTATGCTGAAATCGTCTATAAGAATGAATCGGTTTGTCATATCCATTAAGATCAATAACTGAGCTTTTATTCGTCCAAGACTCACTTAAACATATAACATCATTTTCACTTATAATTCCAATAAATTCGTTTGATGATCGCTTAACTTTAGAAAGTCCCTCAACATTCCATGATAAACACTTGATGACACTCTCTCGTGACTCCTAATCATGTCCACGGTATAGCTGCTTATTAATGTACAATTTATCTACTTTAATATACGCCTCTTTTCCTTCATCACGGGCCTTTTTCATGATTGGTACCAGTTTTCGCCTTGTTTCCATAATCTCCCTAGGAAATTGCTCTGCGACACCAAAGTGCGTACCTGATAAGGTTTTTGCGGAAGCTCTAACTCTTTCTCGGTCCGGAAAATATGCAAATTTAGCAACAATTGGGCGAACTTTGGTGCTTCTGTACACGCCAAGTCTATGAGCTCGATGCAGTTTTATATTTTCTTTGGCGTCCAATATTTTCATCTCCTTTTCAATAAATTTAAGAACTTTCTGCTCGCAGTTTTCATCTTTTTCTTCAGGCAAATTAAAAAACAACAAGTTGTCCCTCATGCTTCGACATTTTATATCTGTAATTTCGTCCCGTAACTCTAACTCCTTTTCCCGTGAATCCTTTTCGGACTTTTTCATCGACTTTAACAACGTGTCTAATTCTGTTTGCCTTTTGTTTATAGTTTCAAGAATATCACTATCAAACGAACGACTCTGCTCTATTTCACTCAATTTGACCTCAAAGGAGTTGATCTTTTGGTCCATTGTGTCCATGCGTACCGTTAAAACGTTCATTCCAGCTTGGATATTATCTAATTGTGATAGCTTTATATAACAGAATGTTTATGAATGCTGAATATCCGAAAACTTGGGGCGAATGTATTATTATCCCAGTTTTCAAATGTGGAAATGCGGATGATCCAAAAAATTATAGAGGAATTACCCTTACTAATATCTTGGGGAAAATTTATTCTCAAATCTTGTTAAATCGACTCACAAAATGGTCGAGAAAATACGAAAAGATTAACACTTACCAGTTTGGCTTTCAAAAGGGCAAGTCAACAGTAGACTGTATTTTTATTCTACATTCGTTAATTGCAAAAGTACTTAGTGAGCGTCAAAAGCTCTTTTGTATATTTATAGATTTTGAGAAATGTTATGATAAAATAGATAGGGTATTACTTTTAAACAAACTCATACAACAAAACATTAGCTCCAGATTTGTTAGAACTATCAGATCTATGTATGAAACAGTAAAATTTTGTGTGCGTCACAAGACAACTTCCCACTTTTTAGAATCGGGGGTAGGATTGAAGCAGGGGGACCCGAGTTCCACTTTGCTATTTTTATTTTTCGTGAATGATCTAAAAGAAAACATAAACTCAAATTTAGACGGAGTAATTAGTGTTAATGAAATTCAGTTTTTCCTTATCATGTTTGCCGATGATACAGCACTTTTTGCCATAAACCCGATATCTCTGCAACTTATGCTAAATGACTTAGAAACATATTGTAATAGATGGGCGTTGAAAATAAATGCAAATAAAACGAAAGCGATGATTTTCGAAACAGGGAATAGGGGCTCAACGTACGATTTTTATTTAAATAGTGTTAAGCTGGAACTCGTGACATCATTTAAATATCTAGGGGTATATTTTTTTAAGAACAATAACTGGAACCGAACTCAGAAAAGACTCGCGCAACACGCGTCTTTTTCACTGCACAATCTTTTTATTGTATGCAATCAATTAGAACTGCCCGTGTCCCAAAAATGTAATCTTTATGATAGTCTTGTAAGTTCTATCTTAAATTATAGCGCGGAGGTTTGGGGATATCATGAAGGTAAAGATATTGAAATGATTCATACCAAGTTTTGTAGAAAAGTCCTTGGGGTAAAAATATCAACTAACAGGGAATGTTTATATGGGGAGCTTGGACGATACCCGATGTATGTGCATAGAACATTTATAATGATAAAATTCTGGATAAAAATTTTAAACCTACCAACAAATAGTGCAGTTTTTAGTGTATATAAAATGATGTTACGGTCAGATGCAGATAATCGAAAAAATTATAATGGTTCTAACTGGGCATGTTATGTTAAACAAATACTTGATGAAATAGGAATGACAAATGTATGGTTAAGTCAAGCAAATATAAGCCCATTAAACAGCGTATCCTTGATATATACAAACAAGAATGGTATACAAGTATAAATAATTCAAGTCGACTTACATCATACGCGCTCTTTAAGCATGACTTTGTTTTTGAAATTATTTAAACTTTAAAACCGATAAACGTTTCAGAATCGCATTATGTAGGTTTAGAACTTCATCTCATAGTCTTCATATCGAAATTGGAAGGTATAACAACATAGATAGAACAAATAGATTATGTAATAATTATGTAATAATTGTACCATGCATAAATTAGAAGATGAATACCATTTTTTATTAGTTTGCCCTAAATACAGACATCTAAGACATATATACTTTAAAAGATTTTATTGCCATTGGCCAAGTATTTTTAAATTTGAAAAGCTTATGCAGAGCACCAAAAAAGTACAGTTAACAAAGTTGCCAATATAATTATATACTTTGCGAACAATCTAAGAAATTAAAGGATGGATGATATCGTGTTTACTTCTCTGACTATTATGTATGTTTTGTTTTTTGTTTAGCTTCATTTCAAGTTCACATCAGTATATGATTGTAAATATTGGCTATATGCACCTTTCAGGTGTTGTTGTTTTCTCTGAAAATCGGGACATAATAACCTTGTTTGGAATCTTCAGAAGGGTTTGGTAGTGAAATGAATAAATGATTTAGAGTTGAAATCAAAAGAGATTTTATAACAGCAATTTTACCTATTGGAGTGAGAATTCTTCTTTTCCAGTTTTGAATAACCTATTCTATTGCTATAGTTTAAATCAGTCAACGTGAAAATTTATGTCTAACATTTTAAATTGATATTGATTTCAAGACAATTTCCATCTTGTTTTTATACTGTTTTATGAAAAATACGTCTACAAACTGCAAAATTATTATAAATTTCAATAAAAATACTATATTTAATATTTTATAAGTCACTTTCGTATTTTTCAGTGTGAGCGAAAAATAAAGACATAAATTTTCAAAAAAGACTCCAAACTTTATCAAACTTTGGTAATCTATTATTTATGATTGCTACCTCTTTATCAGTCTTAATTATATATATATATAGCTTTTGTGTTATAAAGTGTTTGGCTCCAATCATTGATAAAGAAAGATCAAGCATTTTACACTGATAAACATACATTTTAAAGTATACTAAAAATAAGTTTTTTTTGCGTTAGACAGATCATCTTTTGCATTAAAGCCAAACATCATTTCTTTTATACCCAAAGATAAAAATGGCTCTTCATTTATTATAAGAAAGTCATTTATAAATTTTTTTACAATAGGACACAGCCAAAATAGGTGCATGCTCAATGCTTTCAACATCATTACTACAAAAAGAACATAAATGACTTTCTTTATACTTAATTTTGTATACTGTTTTGAGACCATTTCATTTTCTCTATCCACACAACTTTAGTTTTATCAAAATTAACATTAAGTCCCGATAGTTGTGCAAAATCTGACAAGATTTTTAAAGATTTATTTAAAGACGCACTTGATCCATCTAAAAATCATTGTTGTGTCATCTGCAAATTGAGACAATTTATGTTCACATTGTAAATGTTTATTCCTTTAATGATATTGTCATTTCTTATTTTTAAAGCTAGAACTTCAGCACATAATATAAAAAATATAACATGGAAGAGGATCTCCTTGTCGGCAGCCTCTACTTATTTTTACAAATTTTGATAAAAAAACACATTGATTAACAGCAAAAGTTGCATCTTTATATAAAATATCAAACCATTTTATTATAGATGGACCAAAGTTTAAAAAGACAGAGTATTCTGTACAAATGACCAAGATAGTGAATCAAAAGCTTTTTCAAAATCTATTGTAAGGAAAAGTCCAGGATTGTTACTTTCTTCAGTATACTGCATTATATCATAAATAAGACGCAGCAGAATGTGACTTCTCCTTTTCCCTCGGTAGCACTTCCAAATCTTCACAGTTAATGCTTGCAGATTTGCAAGTAGAACTTAGGCATTTACGGTGTGAGATATTCAATATAAAGACTGAAAATATCAATTTAACAAAAACTATAACTACGTATGATGATCGAATCGGTTGTCTAGAGATGGAGCTCAACAAATGTAAAAAAGACATAGAAGTACAAGCACGTGTAAATACAGATTTAATCCGTAAAGTACATACTCTAGAAACCAAATTGTCTTATGATGAAAAACATGAGTCCAAAAAGATTAACTCCAAAGCCAACCAAAGTACAATAATAATAACTTCACCAAGTAGCAATAAGCAAAAAGTAAAGTCATACTCAGCAGCTGTCAAAGAAAATATAAGCAAGGTGACTTATCCTGATAGCAGCCCAAATGAAAATATTAGTCGAAAAGAAGAGACAAATATCAATCTTCATACTATCATTAATTCAAACAGTCAATGTGCCACTGCTAACAACAACATGGGAAGTATTGAAGCACACAGTTCAAAAATCACAAAA